ATATTTTGTCGGGGTAGAATTGGGGTGTTACAATTGGAACCAAATGGGTATTCAGAAACAAGCTGAATGAACAGGGAGAAGTCGTCAGAAACAAAGCACGATTGGTGGCACAAGGTTATAATCAGCAAGAGGGGATAGACTATACAGAAACCTTTGCTCCAGTCACCAGGTTAGAATCTATCAGACTTTTAATTTCTTTTGTTGTAAATAATGGCATCACTCTCTATTAGATGGATGTCAAAAGTGCATTCTTAAATGGATACATTGATGAAGAAGTTTATGTGCACCAACCCCCTGGTTTTGAAAATTCAAAACATCCAGAATATGTATTTAAACTAAAGAAATCACTATATGGTGTGAAACAAGCTCCCAGAGCTTAGTATGAAAGACTAAGTAGTTTTCTGCTAGAAAATAATTTTACCAAAGAGAAGGTGGACACAACTTTATTTTGTAAGCCATTTAAAAATGACATTCTAGTTTGTCAAATTTATGTAGATGATATTATTTTTGGATCTACTAAAGCCTATCTGGGAAGAGAATTTGCTAAGTCTATGCAGGCAGGGTTTGAAATGAGCTTGATGGGAGAACTCAAGTTCTTTCTGGGCATTTAGATCAATCAAACCCCAGAAGGAACATACATACACCAAAGTAAATACGTCAAAGAACTTCTGAAGAAATTTGATCTATCAGAATGTAAGCCAGCGAAAACTCCAATGCATCCTACATGCATTTTGGAAAAGGAAGAGGTAAGTAAAAAGGTAGAACGGAAGATCTACAGAGGTATGATTGGTTCTCTCTTATATCTTACAGCTTCAAGACCTGATATTTTGTATAGTGTATGTCTATGTGCCAGATTCCAATCAGATCCTAGAGAATCTCACTTAACAGGTGTTAAGCGAATTTTCAAGTATTTGAAAGGTACTACTAATCTTGGTCTATTTTATAGAAAAACCAAAGAATACAAATTAGTAGGGTACTATGATGCTGACTTCGCTGGAGACAAAGTAGAAAGAAAAAGCACTTCTGGAAGCTGCCAGTTTCTGGGAGAAAATCTGATCTCATGGTCCAGCAAGAGGCAATCCACAATTGCATTATCAACCGCTGAAGCTGAATATATAGCAGCAGCTGAATGCAGCACACAAATGCTCTGGATGAAAAGTCAGCTTGAAGACTTCAATATATTTGAGAGTAACATTCCTATACTCTATGATAATACTTTTTCCATTTTTTAATCTAGAAATCCTATTTTACATTCTAGGGTTAAGCATATAGAAATAAAATATCACTTTATTAGGGACTATATTCAGAAAGGAATTTTTTCTTTAAAATTTATTGACACATACCATCAATGGGCTGATGTCTTCACTAAACCCATTTTCTAAGATAAGTTTAATTTCATTCTGAAACATCTCAGCATGAAATTATGTCCAGAATAAGTGTTTTATTTATGTATTCTTTAACCCACAAAATTTTTTTTTGGTGAACATCTGATCAATAATTCTTCAGAAGTTAGAAGGACAGTTGTATCAGGATCTATCTAAGAAGATCTGAACAGTTTTCAAATGATTCATTTCAAAGATAGAAGCATGCAGTTTACAACATCAACATATGTCATCCTCTCACAAGAGTTTCTTCTAAAGCTGAACACGCATTCAAATTCTGAAGGGACTAAAGCATTGATTGGATACATTGAGACTCGTGTTATATCGATAACTGTTCTATATCTCCACGCCACCTCCCTATTTTCAGGAATCATTAATGTTATGTAATCATTTCTTTTCACTCTTTTCTTGCTAATTAAGTTTTCTATTTGCTTATAAATACACCGTTCACTTTCACTTTCACTTTTTCACTCTGAATTCTTCTCTCTACTATTTGTGTGCAATTTTCTTTAAAAAAAACCTTCAAAAAGTCTGTGTGAACAATGGCTTCTTCTCAAAGTGCTCAAAGCTCCCAAAGTGTTCCTGGATCTTCTTCTTCAACAACAGAAAGGTATGAAGAACCTTCAAGAACACTCATGACCCCCATTGATCTGCTATAAGTTCTATGTGAACTCATTGTAGACTTCAAAAGTATGAAAGAAAACGGCTACGACCTTACTCCTGATGTTGAACATCAAGGGTGGACCAAGTATTTTGATCGTCTACTAGGTCCAGTCTTTCCAAGATTAGTTAAAGAGTTCTGGATTCATGCTACTGCTTCAAACCATCAAGTTACTTCGTTTGTAATGGGAAATAAAATTGTAATTTCTATCAAGAATCTTAAAAGAGATATTTTCTTCTGGCCAACCATCAAACAAAATTAAAGATCTGAAAGACTACTTCAGAATTTGGTCAAAGATCATCTTGGGATGCATCAACCACAGAAAGGCCACAAGTTCTCCTGATTATATCAATATTGACCAGCAATTTCTTATGTACCTCATTGCAACCAAGGCAAAGGTAAATCTTCCTCATTTGTTGTTTAATCATCTGAAGACAAGCGTCAAAGAGACTAGAGAAGAAGAAAGGACTAAGAGGGACTGGATACCTCTGGGCAGACTCATATCAGATATTCTGATGGAAAATAAATTGGTAGAATATCTGACTGAAGCTCAACAAGTCAGCACTCTAGAAGCATGTGCTGGAAAACCTCTGAATGCAAAGAATCTGAAGAAGATGAAAATCATTGACACCATAAAGAAGGATCCAACAGTAACAACAAAGGAAGTCATTACAATAAGAAGAGTTCCTCTGAAGGATTTCCCTCTTTTCTCTCAAACAGATGCTTCTCCAGAAATTATTGTCAAATATCTGAAAGCTTGCAAAATGGATGGGAATAATCCAGAAGTGAACATTCACGATTTGCGACAACATTCTCCAGAGGTTGTTCTCAAGAAATCAAGGAAAAGGAAAGCTGCAGGAGAAGGATCTTCTCAGAAGGTTCCCAAGGCTTCTAAGAAGAAATGTAATTCTTCTTTTATTTATGTTGTGGAATCGGTACTTTTATCAACATCTGAAACCCCCTTCTCTCCAAAACCCACAGAAGACCCTTCACCACAAACCTTTTATGATTTTGATATTGAGTTTGAACCTTCACTCACTCTAAAAAACATTTTGGATGAACCACATTTTACTACTGCACATTTTGACCAAAATCATCCAGAACTTGCTCAAGTTCTTTCTGATATTGATCAATTTGATCCAGTGTTCCAAGCTTCCCAATCAGAAAATCCAAACTCTCAAGCTCCCCACTCTGAAAATCTAAACTTTCACGTTCTCCAACCAGAAAATTCAAATCTTGACTCTGATACGACATCACTCATTCCTGGAATAACAAAACCTCTCATGGTCCGACAACCACTCACAATCCACAATATTCCAGAAATTCCATCTCCTTACTATTCCACTCTACCAAACACACCTCATTCACCCATTATCATTTTTTATTCTCCCTCTCCCATCAATCCTCCAGAAGATCACCTTCGTACAATAATAGACTTAGAAGCGCTGGACAACCTTGCCTCTAGCTCTCACAAAATTGCCATCCCAAAACCAAAACCAAATATCACCAAGATAAATGTTGGCAAAAACTTGCTGATTTTTGAAACAGAGATACTTGAATGGGTTAACTCTCTGAAGCTAGCCTGCTTAGAAAATATGAGTCCTGCTGCTTCTGATTCACACTGGAACCAGTTCAGAAAATGGTTCAATTCTGAATCCTAGAAACTCAAGGAGTTGAGTTATAAAATGGCTCAACAGAACTTCTGTGATCAGCTAAATATTTTCAAGGATCAAGTTATGCGCCACTGGGAAAAGAAACCTCTTCTTCTAATGGACAATGCCTCCTGGGAAGATCACCAGCCTTCGGAAGTTGATGAACCATGCTCTAATACTCTTACTTTGGTTATAGTTCAAGACAAAGGCAAAGAAATCGAAGAAGCTACTGAGTCAGAATCTGCCGCAGCCTGCTCTAAAAAGGTGGCATCTTCTGCTGATATACCTTATTCATCTTTGATTCTGTAAACTCTGGAGGAACTGAATAAAGAAAATACAGCGATCAAGGAGAGATTAGGCAAGAAAGATGACACATGCAAGGAAACCAAAGGGATGCTGGGAAAACAAGAAGAGTCAAATATTCAGATTAAGAATTTGTTGGAGACCCTGTTCACACGACTTCCTCCACCTCAATCTTAGTTTTGAAAATTATTTTCTTTACTGTGTCCAATTTTTTTGTGTTGTTTGCTTCTGAATGTGTTACTGCAATCCTTTTTAATACAACTCTACTTTTATTGCTTAAACATGTTTATATTACTTTTTTATTCTCGACAAAAAAGGGGAGAACGTAAGATATTTCTAATAACAGTATCGAGACACCGTCTCAAACATTTTGAATATCATAACTTCTCGTTTTTTTTCTGAAAGCAAAACAGAAACAAAACTTTGGTGAAGACAAAAGTAGATGCATCAAAAACTCTGATCAGAATAAATTTCAGGGAATTTTTTTTTCTCTATCTGAGTATTCAACTCAGGGGGAGACCTTCAAATGCTTTATGTTCTTCCTGTTTCTATTGAAATATCCTAGTTTTTGTCATCATCAAAAAGGGGAAGATTGTTAGAATATAGTTTGATTCTACAAACCCTTGTAAGAGTTTTGATGATAACAAACACAAAGAATAATTATGCTCCCTAAAACTATATTCTGTTTTGCAGAGAAGTTCTGATGGAAGAAGATCAGAAGATGCGCTAAAACGTTGTTTCAACTCTGATTATAAACATCTTTGAAAGAAGTTCTAACGCTGCAAACAGGACTCCGTGTTTCTGATCTACAAAGTTCTGAAGCAAACAACAACGGTTACCTTCATCTTCTGAAACAAGCATGTTCTGAAGCGTTACAAATCAAATATTAAGTAAAATGTCATGGCAGAAATTTTGTAACACTGATTATAGCATAAAAAATTCTCTATGCTTTTTACAGGTCCTCATGAGAAGAAATATTGGACTAAGATTGTTTGGTCCAATATGAACATCCCTAAACACAGTTTTATAGCTTGGCTGGCAGTGCAGAACAGGCTAAAAACTAGGGATAGACTGAAAAAAATGCAGATTATTATGGATTCAACTTGTATGTTGTGTGGTGAGCAAGAGGAATCTAGAGATCATCTGTTATTCCAATGTACTTATAACAGGAAGTGTTGGCAGGCTATTAAAAGTTGGCTCAATTGGAAGATGGAGACGTGCAACATCAATAATGTTACTAGTTGGATCAATAATGTTGTGGTTGTGATCTATCAAATTTGGAAGATTAGAAATAATGCATTTTGGAATCAGTGTGTATTACTCCCGAAAATGTTTGTAAAAAATATTATGAATGATGTTAGGAATTGTACTGGGAGATCTGAGTGGGATATAGTTCCACTTAGAGATAAAGACATATAGCTATTAATTAGTTTGTAGTTTATTCTTGGGTCTAAGGGACAGTTTGGTTTTGATTAATAAAATTTTGCTGATTTATCAAAAAAATAATTATTTATGTCTTATTTTTTATTTATTTCAAATAACTTATTTTATAATTATTTTATATCTAATAATATTAATTTATTATATAATACTAGTAAATAATACTAGTAAAAATTGAAATTAACTGTGTTAAAGTTTTTACAATTTTTTTTAAGTTTAAATTTCTTTAAATTATCTATTTTTTAGTTTAAATATATTTTTTCTATAATATATTTAATATTAATCCATAAATATGTAATAGTTGGTTGGCTAAAATAAGTATGCAAGATGGGGAAAATATTTCCTACATTAAATTATTTTGTAAATTTCTTTCATGGTATATATCAAATAAATATATTTATTTCAAATTTTAAATTCCTTCCATGAGTTATGTTTGAATATTATTTACACAAATTAAAATTTCTTTAGAAATGTTTGAATATTTGTTTTCAAAATATTTAAAGAACCATAAATATAAAATATGCATGATAAATATGCTCATTTTAATATTATAATATTATTAAAATAAATATATATTTTTATTTATATATTTTTAAAATAATATTGTGTAGTTATATTAAATAATACTCATTTGAAATAATATTCATAAATTATATATTTAACACATGATATTATATTACTTATTTTTAACGATTATATTTATTTTGCATATACACGTCATATTTATTTAGTATTTATTAATACGTATTTATTTACTAATATTTCAAAATAATAATGTAATAAATATTTTTAATAAATAAGTATCTCATTTAAAATTATTATAAATAAATATACTATTACTATATATGTATTTTGGATTTATGAATATAATATTATTGAATATATTTAAGTTAATGTGCTGGATTCAATTCCCATAATAGCCAAATTTTAGGATTCTTGAATCAGTAAATAATACTATATAATAAGTATAATTGATTGGATAGTTATTCACAAAATATATCTAGTAGCAAATATTGGTTGAAGAAATTCATAAGCTGCTCCACCTACAGTACTTCCAATAATACCAAGCACTGGCCATGAAATCAACAGTACTAGTAGTACACATGTGCAGATAGATAACAATCTTCAGAAGAGGTCCTAACTTGTCTAGCTCTCAGAACACAGTAATAACTCTAAATGACATGTGCTGGCACAAGCCACTGTCGGCAATTCCACCTATCGCATCCTGCTGTTACCGCTGAGAGTTTCATCGTCGACAGAACACCTTTTCTATTTTACTTCGTGAATCCATTAAGGAACCTCAATTCTGCAATTAAATCATGAATGGCAGCACAAGTACAGTAATGGGGGCGGAAATGTGAATCCTCTTTAGATCGATCTGAAAACAAATGCGCGAAAAAAGCTCCATCATCTAATGTTGAAGCTCCACCGGGATCAAAAATTGTGATCCAAACAGCAGGATGATTGAAGAATGTAAGTTGCATCTTATGACAAAACCTTGACTCGCCGATTCCAATTTTGAAGAAATTGGATCTTGTCTGATGAAGGCGCATGCGGAATGATCTATAGCAGAAAGAAAATTTTTGAAATGCTAATTCAATGTTTCTTCATCCACTTTCTGCAATTTCTCTTCTACCTCTACCTCTTGATTCAACAAGACATGAAACTATCAATACTAGGCGAGATTTGCACTTCAAGAGTCGAGAAAGGTCCGTCATATGTAATTAAACTATCCTCATCAGAAAAACTAAAACCAGAGATAGAACTTGAACAATCTTCTAAGCTGATATCGTAAGATATAAGTTCTGAATCCTGTTGAATTTGGACATCATGGATCAATGTTGGTTCAAGATACTCTGAAGTTGAAATTGTTACAAGAGCTTTATCTTTGAGTCTGTCTAGTTAAGTGCTCACCGAATAACGACGATCTTTCAAAAGAAGCAGGCAATATCCAGGAATATAATCTTTTCATAATAATCAAGATTAGTGTATATCAATCTAAAAACATCATGGACATTTTCAAACTGCTCTATTTTCAGATTCCTTGCTTGGCTTTCCCATATGGCTTTATCTTTCTCACAAAAAGGTTAGCTAAAGCTTTAAGAACTGTTGGAACACCTTTGGTATAATCTACCATCTTCATTGATAGCTTATAGTACTCAATTTCAAGATGCTTTTGTTTATTAAAGGCATATGCAAATTGAAAAGCTGAAAAGATTCAGCAGTGTCCAATCACCAATGGCTCAACCTCGTATATATCATCAACTTTTCCAGCAAGTACTTGCTTATCTCAACTAGTTATGATGATTCTACTTCCTTCACCTAACCAATCAGCTGTTCCAACCAAAACTTCCAGCTGCTCTGCATCTTTGACATCGTCATGAACAATAAGAACCTTCATGCGGCCAAGCCTTTTCTTAACCAAAGGAGGTAATCCATTTATCATGTCATCTTTCAAATCTTCTTCCTCTAGTAAAGTGGATAAAAGCTTCATTCTTAACCTCAAACTGTTTGTACCATATCTTTCTGATTCTTCTCTTACATTAGGCATAAGACAACTTCCGTATTCAGGGCGTAGCCTGTGATATACTTCTTCAGCAATAGTTGTTTTACCAATACCAAGCATACCCCAAATTCCAAGAACACAAACATCTTCCGAATCTAAATGCAACAACGATTCTATAGGTGATATTTGTTTTTCAATTCCTACAAGTCCTTTTGATTTACCTTGGTCCACTTGGTTCAACTTCATCAACACACTTTAAAGTATTTCTTCAACAAGCTTAGCATCATCCCTGTATAACAAAGAATAGAGAAAATGATTAAACTTCAATCAAACTACATCAATTTAACAATGCCTTAGTTTGAACGTAAAAATACAAAGAGTTTTTATTATTTATTTCATTATCCTTTCAAATATCTTTAACCAACATTGATCCATGAATTGATGTGCAAATTCAACAGGATTCAGAACTCAAATCTTCCAATATCAGCTTAGAAGATTGTTCAAGTTCAAATTCAACACAAAGAAGAGGAAAATAGACAGTGGCAACACAACAAAAAATAAATTCAACACTGAAAAAATAAACAATAACAATCTTTATAAAAGAGAAAACCCAAAATTACTCGCTCCCAATTCAATCCCAAAGCAAAATCAGAGAACCATTGAATCCATTGCTAATATGACGGAACACTTTCTTATCTCTTTGAGGCTCACTCCTAACCCTCACCGTTGCAAAATAATATGAATGTTGCCATGGAGGTAGAGGACGGGATGATGAGGGACGAAAACAAATGGGCAATAAGATAGATGAAGTTGTGTGTGACTCATTTCATGTTATTACTTGTACTGCATCAAGGTGTTTTTTCAAAAAAGTAATAGTTGACACGTGGCTTTGTTTAGGACGTACATCAAATGGACACAGTTGACTGAAAGATGTGAAATCACCTTAAGGAATCACACAAATACAACTCCTAATAAAGAACAGAAAAACAATATGACAATATCAATGATCACTCACCTAATATGACTGCAACTTTATCATATGGTGACTCGTTTCATGTTATTACTTGTACTGCATCAAGGTGTTTTTTCAAAAAAGTAATAGTTGACACACGGCTTTGTTTAGGACGTACATCAAATGGACACAGTTGACTGAAAGATGTGAAATCACCTTAAGGAATCACACAAATACAACTCCTAATAAAGAACAGAAAAGCAATATGACAATATCAATGATCACTCACCTAATATGACTGCAACTTTATCGTATGGTGGACTGGGATAAACATCGGCCCGAAACACAACCTTCACCTACATTCAAGCAGAATAAAAAATTTCAAATTAAAATCTTTAGGAACTCTCTCATACATTCATAATCACATTTTTCAGAAAATTTCTTACTCATTGAAAAATTGAATTTGTCCAAATCTCAAACTGCAATCTCAATAGTAATAAGAAAGTAACTACAGAACTTAAAGTGAAACATGGAACATATGTCTAGTTAGTTAAATCATTTAAATCTTGTGTAACACAAACTGACAGTACAAATAGTCACATTAATCAACATACATCTATCTAGAGACAAAATTGTTTGATAAATATAAATTCTTTCACCAAGAATAATGGATAACCATACGTTGTTACATAATAGTTAAGTAAGAAAATCAAGGTAGGGTCAGATTGGGTCAAAGGTGTTTTCACCGAACCTGCAATTTGTGTCAGATGCCATCAGGGGGTAAAACTCCAAATATCTGCAACATGAGAAGCAACAAAAATGAGTAGGTCTCTTTATCTATAGAGGACCTTACATTTAATAAAAACTATTAAGAATGTAGGATAGCCATCTAAAAACTGCAGTGTAGGATGTCTCCATAAGACCATCAATGAATTCAGTCTCAAAATCTGTAATCAAATTAAAGAAAAGAATAATTATTCAACTTCCAATAAGATAATCCTCAATACAGTGTTTTGAATAAGAATATTAAGAACGCAATCAGTGATAAATCAAATCAGAATCAGAATATTAAGAACGCAATCTGTTTTGAATCAGAATATTAAGAAGGCAACGAATATTTTTATTAATAGAAAAGTGGTATGTCTCTAACCCAAAGTTGCTGTGAAAGAGTATCCAGTACAAAGTCTTTGGCTGTATCTGTGCATATATTTGCTTCATACCAAGTAATTTCTACAGTTGTCAAGTAAGAATTTCCTTAAGAAGGAGAAAAACATCTTACCTCAAGGTCAGGACAGCGATTGAACAATGGATCTCGTGAATCAATAACCATATTTTTTGCACCTGGAGACTATACAGAGCACATATAACAAATAGAAAACAAATTTTAAATCGTAAGCCTTACCTTTACCTTACCTTTAGACAGCATCCAGGGTTTGCAAAGGTTACATGAGATTTTATCTTTATCGGATAAGGTTGAAATTTGCAAAGGGTTCATTATCTTTGTCTGTTGCTGGGCCTTGAAAAACACTCCAAAATCTAAGAGTCTCATCTGCTGCTGCAGATACCACGGTACACCCATCTGGACTCTGTGTCATATATAGCACCCTTGAGGTGTGGCCGTTGAGCTCCGCCATCTTTGCCATGGAAGGATACTTCCAAAGGATAAGCTGGTTCTGAGGGAACCCGTGTGAGCTAAGAAACTCACGCTCGTTCTTGTTCCATAACACACAACATACTGGCGATCCCGTATCAACCGATTTCAACCTGGTACCCGTATGTGTGTTCCACATCTTAATGCATTGATCACCGTCACCTCCTCCAGATGCCAATAGATTAGCCTGATAAGGACACCAAGCCAGTGCCTTCACAGCAGCTGTGTGTTCCTCAAACCTATGAAGCCAGCGAGTAGGTGAATTTGAAGAAGCCACCGACCTATCCCATATGTGGACAACATTATCGCTTCCACCACTCGCCAATTGTTGTCTTGAGGGTGACCACTTGAGTCCACAAACTTGCTGGGTGTGTCCCCTGTAAGTTTGAACAATGTGAGACCTCAGTCTAACATCATTGTTTAATATTTTACCATCCATTCCCCCTGTAGTCAGAATATGACTGTTCCAAGCCAAGGAACCAACTCCTGCTGTATGTCCACCCTTTAATGTCCTTAGCTGCAGGCACCAAAAGGAAACCATACAAACATGAGATTTCAAAACAATTTAAAGTTTAAAACAAAATAACTAACGGTTGAAAAAGCAATTTATTCCTCTAATGCAATTTGCATATTTATTATGATGATTAACAACACAAATATCAGCATAACAACAAAAATGATATTTACCTTTTTAGTAAGGGCGACATCCCATATCTGGACATGGGAACTGTTCAAACCTATGGCTAAGTGGCGACCATCGGGAGCCCAGCTAAGACTTGTGACATGACCATGCTCCTCACCCACGGTGACAAGTTCTGAAGTGGAACTATTGTTAGCATCCCAAAGATGAACGGTATCTTGAAGAGCAATTGCGAGTACATTGCTTGTACCCCAATCTAGTAAATTAAAGGAAAAGTGGTCTATCATATCAGGAAGATCCAAGATTCTGTAACATATCTGCAGAAGCATTATCACAAACAGATTATAAGCATGCAAATAATGGTAAAATATAATAACAAGAAATAGAAAGAAGTAAGTACCTTAGGAATGCATCGTTTTGGTTTGGACTGAGGAGGTGGTGAAAGAATTTGTTTAGGTATGAGCTTGTTCTTGAAAGCCAAAATCCGAGTTCTTTGATTGAGGTTACACGCTTCAGCGAGACGTTTCCTGTAGAGTTGCCGAGAAGGTGAAATAACCTCTGGAACAGAATTCTTCTTTTCCTTACATCCTTCCGTTAGCATGTAGTGAGCGTAACCGAAATCCATGGCGGATCGGTTTGGAATAAACCTATCCAACTGTTTCAAACAAAAACCTAAAATTAGAAATTGTCGATGAAATCAAAACAAAAACCTAAAACTAGAAACGGCTTACGTTGTTATCCTGAGAAGAAGTGTTTGCGTGGTGGATGAAGCGTTCTTGGAAAGGGTAACGAGAACTCGACAATCTGGAATCCATTACTGCAACAAACAAACAGAAATTTAGAGAACTCAAACAAAACTGAAATAATTGTCAGTTTATTAGCGTGAAGAATCAGTGATGAATTTTGAAGATGAGAATGTTGAATTGTTGAGAGATGAGAAGATGAGAAAGAAGAAGTGATGATTGATGTGATCAATGCTGCTTGTATTTATAGATATAACTTTCGCGTTTTTCTTTATTTGGTTTCGCGGAAAAACCAGTTAAACATTTATTAGTACCGTATCTTTTTCAATCTTTCAAACATGCATCACCATATTCTTTTATCAAATATGGGTTATAAATCAAATGAAAAAAAATTCTTCTAAAAAAATATTTTTAATTAAATTAAAATATTGATAAAAAATCAATAATGTATTTTCATTTAAAATGGTCACAGTACAGTAGATTTTGCGAAAATAAAAATTTTCTAACTAGTAAATAAATAAATAACCAAATTAAAATATATGTAATAATTTCACAATCTTTACTATTTTTAATGAAGTAAAAATATAGATGATAAATCAATAATTATTTTTTGTAAAAGGTCATAATAATAGAACATGCAAAATAAAAATTTTTAAACCATAAATAATAATATAAAAAAAACCCTTAAAAATACAAAAATATAAAATACAAATTTCTATTAAAGAATAATATGTGAAATTCCCTAACAATACAATAAATAACCATTACAAAAAAATGGTATATTTTAAATATGTTTATTTTAGTAAAATAAATAATATTAAAATTCCATAACAATTAAAATATATATTTTTTTGCAATAGATATAAAGGATCAAGAGAGTTATAAAAAGTGTATGAGAGAATATGGAAAAATTAAAATTGATATATTAATAGTAAAATGAAATACTATATTGAAAAACGTTTTTGGTAAGATTCTATTTTTTTTTAAAATTTAAATATCAAACATAATACAAAAGATTTAATAAAGTGTTTTTTATATGAAATACTTAAATCTTAAGCGTTAATTATATCTAATGGATGATATTGATAGTTCTCGTTTCTCACAAAAGATATCAATTCTCACTGGATACACTCCTTATTAGGGGTGTTCAAAACCAAACCGGCCCAATAGAAAACTGTAAAACCGAACCGAACTAAACCAAAACCGTAAAAAACCGCATTTGGTTCGGATGTGTTTGGGTCATTTTCTCGCGGAACCGCAAGGTTCGGTTCGATTTGTATTTTACAAACCGAACTAAACCAAACAAAACCGCATTATGTTATAAAATCTTACTAACCAATATATATTTCTTTAATTCTTTAGAGAAATAAACATGTATTATGTGTATATTTTATCATACCTTGTATTATATTCATTTTAATTTACAAATCATAAAAAAATAAAATATTATTCATTTATAAATACTATTTCCACAAACTATATTTTATCGTATTCTTTGTATAATATTTATTTAAGAATTCAATTTTGCTTATATCATTCTTTAAATTTAGATAAAATTATAATACGCAATTTTATGTATCAAATTATAAACTTATTTTGACAATTATAAATTTTTTTATGGTAATGTGCGAACAATTAAACACAAAATTATATTTTCCTCTATATTTGTTTGTATGACTTAATAATTTTTTTTGTAAAAAACCGAACCAACCGAACCAATCCAAACCGCATTAGTTTAGTTTGGTTTGGTTCGAATTTATTTTTAAAAGTCAACCAAACCAAACCAAACCGCGTGTTTTTTTCTCTTGCGGTTCGGATGATTTTTTGCTTCAAAACCGTCCAAACCGCACCGCGAACACTCCTACTCCTTATGGACTGAGGGTATTATTTTTCTGCCTCAGCCTCTAAATCTTCCACCTCATCAAACTAAGGATTATTTGTGTTAAAAAATATTTTTTTTAACTAATGATGTCATTTATTTCTGATTCAAGTACATGATTGTATTTATTTGCCTTTGATCATTAGCTTGAAATGGTTTGATTATGTCACATGGGGTTGTTTGGTTACAAATCAACCAATGTAACCCCACTTTAATCTGATTTCACGAATATCAATTCATCAAATCAGATTTTCACATTTATCTCTTCCCAACATCATCTCTCTCTTCATTCTCTTTCTCTTTCGTATTTTCGTCTTCCTTCTTCTCTCTTCCCTCTCTTCCTTCTTCTCTTTCTCTTTCTCTTCCTCCTCTATTTTCCCCCTCTTCCTCTTCCTCTTCCCATTCCTCTTCCTTCTTCTCTCTTCCATCTCTTCCTCTTCTTCTTTCTTATCTCTTCTCTCCCTTCGTCTTCTTCTTTCTTATCTCTTCTTTCTGATTTATATTTGGTTGCTTCTGTTCATTTCAATAATTTACAGTTTCGGTTACTTTTGATTTATAAATTTTTTCTTCAGTTTTAATCCAAGACTGTGGAAGCTTTCATGATTTACCACACATACTATTTTGCATAAGAAGGGAGAAGGAAGAAAGAGAAACTGAAACAGAAACAACTGAAGGAGAAAACAGAGTGACGAAATAAAGGGGCTTGACTATTTTGTGGAGAAAGTATGGTATTATTACAGAAATTGATATGTGGTAAGATATTTTTGCTTTTTGTTTATGTAAATCTAAACTTTAGGTTATGCAAGATCTATCGGTGTTGGTTACAGATTTTAGGGTTTCGATAGTTGTTACCTACATCCTTTAAGAACTATTGTGATAGGTATTATACTTGATACAAATCTGCTTGACCCGACATGTTTTTTGCAGTAATGATGTTTCAAGCCGGTTAGTTTCACAATTTTGAGTATCTAAAAATAAATACTCAGGTTACCTTGATGTATCATATATTTTGTTCAAACGTTGTAAATAATTTTAATTGATGTAGTACTTTTATTCATTGATTTACCGCATATTTGGATATGATAAAGGTTATTGCTGTAAAAAACAGTTGGGTCTGGTTTCTCGAGTTTGACTGCGGCGCGATAATGTGGCTGAATTAGTGCATCTGTCAAATACCATTAATGTTTGTTGGCTTCAACTCACGGAGTTTCTGCTCTTGAACAAAGGTTAATCAGTTTGTCAATCCTTGTCATTCCTTTTGTTTGTGTTTGTTATGGTTGTATAATATGATTTATGATTTAAGTATTTGGCTTTTTTCTTTTTCTTAACCAAAATGGTAAGCGTTTTGAATCAGAATTTGGCTGTAAGAATTTGGTCTGTAAGAAATTGTTGCGCAGTTGTTACATGTTCGATCAGTTAATCCCATTTTACAAAACCAAAAAGACAGTGTTCACCAAGAGTTTCTCATTGTGAATACACACTTGCTTTTTCCTCATGATTCAAATTTGTCTATAGTGATATTGGATCAGGTGTGCAGATTCGCAGCAACACAATATTCTATCTTATTCATTTCTTTGGCATCTTTCAATGTTAAATTTTGCCTTTCATTTGCCTTCTTGTATGTTTATCAAATATTACAATATGTGGAATTGTATCAGAGAGAAAACAGGTTCAATCTGCTGCCTATTATTCTATGTGGGTGAGTTTATTGTTGGTTTTCTTGTGATGTTACTATTGCTCTAGAGTCAAATGTCCTTATGTTGTGAACTTCATGTTTATTCTAATGAAACGATTGTAACGGAAGCAAGCATGGACATGTTTACTAGCTCCTTAGGTTATAGGGTTTTATATCATCATATGATATTTCAAAAATGAAATGTAACTGGTTTTGAAAAGAATGTTTATTTGGTTATTAATCCTAATCCATGTAAGTGGTTTATTAATGAATATGGTATGATTTTTAAAAACACCTTTGGTTAAGCCATTTGAGATGATACATATGTTAAATATTATGTGGTAATTTACATTAACTCTTCCATTATGCATACAACAACTTAACCCAAGTGTCTGTCTGCAATGGCTCACATTCATGATGTGGGTGTGGGATATAAAGCTATAGTTGAATCTGCAGGGCATCTGTTGTATCTGAAGTTAGGGTACGGTCATGATGTGGAATTATCCGCGTCTTCTGTTTTCCTTGTTTTCTGCTTTTATTAAAAACAATGTAATTTGTTGTACAGGAATAGACAAGTAAAGGGTGCATCAGTTTGCAGCTATTGTTCACAATTGTAAGCCACCTGAAGTTTACAAAGGCAAGGGCATTATGTATACTGATGAAGTTATCAAGAAAAAACAAGGAAATGAGTATAAATGATCATATAATCTTGATCAATTTCATGAAGTCTATGACTTAGGTGCATATTTGGTAGACTTTGCATAATTTTTTAAATCTAGCCTTTGGACGATTTCAGTGTTATAATTCTTAAACCGAGCATCATGGATAATCAAGTTTCAAATAACAGTATTTTTTGGTTCAATATTATTGATATGTATCATTTAGAGTTATGTTGTGTTGTTATTGCAATGGGAAGGGAATATGACAGAGCCACACTTTTTAAGACATTTTGGTAGTGACAACACCGGTTAAGGAATTGTTTTATATGCACAGCCACGGCTTAGCTATTTTTGAGAAAAATAGCTAAACATGTTTATTATTTGTAAATATATTTAAAAATGAAAAGTCAAAATACGCTTTACAAGGAAAAGTCAAGTTCTGGAAAGCTCTTTGACAATGCTTCTGAATGAATGCTCATCAAATGGCTTATGACTCTGACTCGAATAAAGAAGCTTCTGGAATTTTTTCAAGCTTTGATATTATGCGCTCTACAAGTTCTGAAGACTTTGAATACCAAGTTCAGAAGATTCAGAAGACCAAGCTCTGAAGGCTATTAAAGACCAAGGTTCTGAACACTTATGAAGACAAGGGAATGAAGACTCTCTTACAGTTTTTAAACCTTCTAAGCATGCTTTATTAATATGCATTATGAAGCCTCTGAAGATTAGAAGATAAGAACAAAAGGTCTTATATGAGAAAATAGTATACAGTACAAGATCAAATATTCCTTTCACTGCACTAATTTTATGGATAAAGGACAGTACTGTTGTACCATTCCTTCTGACCATAATGTAAGGATACAACTATGAATTTTGGAATTCCATTATCACCCTTCAACAGATCTTTCTTTGCCTATATAAAAAAGACTTGAACAATGGAACATCAACTTTACAATGATTCATAAGAGCTTTGCTACAACATTTTCTCAATATCTTGAACGTGAATATTACAACTATGTGAGATAAGAAAAAGCATCAAGAAAGGAACATTTGTTCATACGTTTTCTCTCAAACACTTTTATATTATTTCATCTATGTAATCTGTTTTATAGAAGCATCTTTGTAAACACACTGTTGTATCTCAACTTTTGAGTTGTTATTCCTTGAGAGACTAGGATATAGTCAAAAAATTTCAAGGAGACATTGACATTAAGTATTTATGGTTGTAAACAATTTGGTTATAGTGGATTAAGTCCTTGTGAGAAGGCGAAATTACCTTGGCGGATGGACTGGAGGTAGATTCGTTAACAGTGAACCAGGATAAAAATATTGTGTTCATTATTTTTATTCTAAGTTCTTTGTTTCTTGTCTTGGGTAGCGAAAAAGTTTCATTCTGGAAACCCAATTCAAACCCCTATTTCCCGTGTTTCCTCTACCTTCATTTAGATGAGGAGTTGAATCACGCCATCATTATAAAGGTTGAGTTAGAAAAGTCTGAGACTGACAAACTCTTAGATGTCTTAAAATGATACTCGAAAGCAATCAGATACACCATCAAAGGCCTGAAAGGAATAACTCCATATGCGTGTATGAAAAAAAAATTGATAAAGGAGGACTATAAGCCCTCTAGAGAGCATCAGAGGAGGTTGGATCCTAACATGAGAGTGATGGTTAAAAAGGAGGTGTTAAAACTTTTAGAGGTAGGGATATTTTATCCTATCTCTGAACACAAATGGGTCAGTCTAATCTAAGTGGTACCCAGGAAAGGGGGGGTGGTTGTCATAAAAATGATAAGGATGATCATTCGTTACGAGAACAATAACGGGGTGGCGATAATTTCCCACTCCCATTTACTGATCAGATGCTAGTAATATTAGCAATGCATTCAAACTTATGTTATTTAGATGAATATTTTGAGTTTTTCCAAATCTCCATTCATCCAAGAGATCAAGAGAAGATGACTTTCACTTGTCCTTATGGGTCGTTTGTCTACCAATAAATGCCTTTATGACTATGCAATACGCCTGCAACATTTCAGCGCAGCATGATGTTTTTTTTTACTTCTTAGAATATATCATGGAAGCACTTATGGACAATATCTCTATTTGTAGTTATAGTTTTGAGAGTTGCTTGAAAATTTTAAAAAGAGATATAAAGAGATGTGTTAAAGTGAACCTAGTAGTAAACTAGGATAAATGTCACTTCATGGTGAAGGAAGGCGTAATACTTGGTTCCCTAGTGTCTAAAAGAGGTAACAAGGTGGATAAGTCTAAAATAGAGGTCATAGAAAAGTTGTCACTTCCAACCAGTTGTAGAGAAGTAAGAAGTTTTTTTAAGCTATGTTGGTTTTTACCGTTGTTTTATAAAAGACTTCTAAAAAATTTCCAAATCCTTTACCAGACTAATGACGAAGGATGTTGAATTCAACTTCGATGAACATTGTTTAGAATCCTTATAGAAACTCAAGGAAGCACTAATTTTTGTGCCAATAATGTAACCTCTTGAATGGAGTATTGCGTTTGAGATCATGTGTGATGCCAACGACTATGAAATTTGTGCAATATTAGGATAGAGGAGATATTTAAAGATGCACACAATATACTATGTGAGCAAAAATCTAGTCGAAACACAAATTAGTTATGCAACTACTTAAAATATCTCTTGGTTGTATTCTTTTCAATTGATAAACTTTGTTTTTACCAAGTAGGTTCGAAAATAATTGTCTACACATACCATGAAATCAAGAAGTATCTGTTGAGTAAGAAAGATTCCAAACTCAAGACGACTCAGTTAATTATGTTGCTAAAACAAATTGATATAGAGATTAGGGATAAGAAGGGTATGGAAAATATGGTCGTAGACCACCTATCAAGGATAAATGAATTAAATAAGGAAGAGTTACCCTTAGATGACTCTTTCCCTGGTGACAAATTGTTTATACTAATTCAAAATGAAGTACCTTGGTATGCTGACTTTGTCAACTACCTTGCAGCCAAAGTCTTACCTTCAGATATAAGTTATCAGCAGAAGAAAAAGTTCCTCTCAAACCTTAAACACTATTATTGGGACAAACCTCTATTTTTTCAAGAGAGATATCGATGAAATCTTTCGGAGGTATGTCCCAGAAGAGGAAATTGAGAGTGTTATGACCCATTTCCATGCTTCCGCTTATGGTGTACATGTTAGTACATCTAAAACAATTGCTAATACTCTCCAAGATTAGCTTTAGTGGCCTAGTCTTTTTAAGGATGTGCACTTGTTCATTACAAAGTGTGACCAATGCCAACATACTGGGAATATTTCAAAAAGGAATGAGATACCCTTGAATAACACCCTAGAGATGAAAATGTTTTATGTATGGGGGATTGATTTTATGGAACCATTCCTTTCATCAATAGGAAATTAGTATATACTCGTCGATGTTGATTAAGTCTCGAAATGGATTAAGGCAATAACCTCTCATACGAATGACACACAAGTAGTTATTAAGATGTTCAAAAAATCATTTTCCCAAGGTTTGGTGTCTCTAGGTTAGTCATAAGTGATGGAGGATCCCACTTCATTGCGGAACAATTTGAAAATCTATTGAAAAAGAAGTCACAAAGATCCAAAGAAAAATACATCTCAAGAATGCCACATTTTAAACAAATTGAATGAAAAGAGTACAAATGAAAATTCCAACGAAAACCCCTCAATGAAATCAAAGATTCCCCATTTTCCATGGAGAATTATGGGTGACCCGTAACACCTTCTTACACCAGTAATTCTTATCTTCCTAAAAACTCAAAAACCTATGAGTATTATGAGTGACTCGTAACACTGTGTTACACCCGTAACACTCCAACGACCCAATTCTTTTCCATTACAAGGATAATTACATACATGCCTTAACAAGCTATTACACCCATAATCCTCCAAAAATCAAAACTTTCCACTTTTCCTCTCACCCATTAATGGTGGACCCCACCATTTTAAACCAATCAAATCACGTAAAACTTATATTTATCCATAAAATCAGAAATTATCCATTCATTTGCAACCTCATTGTAATACGATGGGAGAACTGACTTGGGTATTTTGCGTTTGATCGCAATTGTTGCGGATAGCAAGAGTCGCCACCGACTTTTCTTTTATCCAATAAGGAAAGGTTGAAAAGAACATGAAATACCTATCGAGAATGTTTTCTTGAGTTTGGGGGGTAGGTTATGAAAAGAGAAGGTGTTAGCACCCTTTTCATCCGTAGTTATCTACGGGCTCTTAGTTGCTTGCTAGATCACTTGCTTTTGTTTGAAAATGTGCTTGTGGTGTGGGTTTGAAAATATTTTGAAAACGTCTTTGTAATGATTCCCGTCTCTATAAGAATGCGTACAAAGTGTTAGTTTTGAAAATAATTCAAAGAGGTGTTTGTGGAATGTGTTTTTTGAAAGTGATTTTGAAAAATGTCTTTGTAATGATTCTCGTCTCTATAAGAATGCGTACAAAGAGCTTGGTATTTTGAAAATGTTTCGAATGAAAGTGTTGGTGTGTAAAATGTTTTTGTTGTGAGAAAGTGAGCAACTATGAGCGTCCTACCTACTCAAAAGGTCTTTGTTCTTTTCCCCCTCCTTTAGATGTTGCTATCTTACCATTTATTTGGTAAGAAGCCCCATCGTTGGATGAGATGCGATGAGCGTGTGTCGTTTGTATAGTCATAGAAGGCAATCTATGGGACGTTTTAGCAATTTCGTTTAGGGACTAGATCGTTTACCGAAGGAAACATCGAGGGACTACGATCTTTTATTGAGGGTCTTTGCTAAAACGTCCATATTCGAGGGACATGACTATTTTTCCGAGGCAACAAGTAAGATTATCCTAGAGGTGCATGTGTGAATAGTGTGTTTGATAGCATGCATTTTGTCTTTGATTTTTGGGTTGTCCACTTGTTGGTTTTATCTTGTCGTACATCCTAATTACTAACATTTGTATAAAGCAATAAAAATGCAGAAAATAAATATCCTACACTATTAAAACCATATTGAATAACAAGAAAATGTAAAGACCAAACAAAATAAAAGAAGGGAAGATAATCCTTTCGATTCAGGCAGCAACATCCTTCGATTATGCTCTTCTGGCTCCTTTTGATTTGGCCTGGAAGTCAGCATGTGCAGGCATCTTTTGATTCTGACTTTCTGCTTCCTTCAATTGCAGGAATGTTAGGGTGAGCAAGTAACCTTCGACCATGCCCTTTGTTCTTCTTTTGATTGAGGCTTGAGAGTCAATGTGGACAACCTTATGGCTGCTTCTTTCGATTGGGTCTTGCAGTTAGTGTGGACAACTTTCGTTTCTCCCTTCTTGCTCCTTCATTTGGACTGTGAAGCAGACAGGGGCGAAGCCCAAGGCTTCGTTTCACACAAGACTTTTTCTTTCGTTTAGGGTCTGTACAGGTTAGCTTTAATGTATACTTGGACAAGAAAAATCATGCAATCGAAAGTATAGAAATAAAAAGTGAACAAATGTCATTTACATGCTATGTTTGAAACGAAAAGCTTAAGGTTAAGGGGACTTACCTTGCTTGACGTTGGAATGTAAGTGTTGGACCTTGAGCTGCTACCCTGGGTGCTCCTGGATTCGAAGGAAAGAAACATGTGTGGTGTTTCTTTGACTGGATTCGAAGGTCAAGGAGAGTGGGGTTGTGCTTGTTGTTTCTGGATTCTAAGGAGAGGAACAAGTGTGGTGTTCCTTCAGCTAGATTCGAAAGAAAAACAAAGCGTTAAGGTTTTTCCTGGTTCGAAAGGGAAAAGAAACATATGTTGTGTTTCTAGTGTTGGATTCGAAAGGGACATAAACAAAGGTATGGTCTTTTGAATCTG